TCCCGTTTCCCTGTGAAAGGAAGCTCCTGCGCCTGGAAGTGCAGAATAAAGTGGAGTGGCTCGGACCAGCCCTGCTCAGGATTTGTCAGTCCCCTTAGCCACCTGCAGCCAGCCACTAGCTCTGCCTCTCCTGTACCCCTCCAGGGCCACCTCCGTCCTGTGCCTCCTCACTCCTGACAGGTGGCATCTTCACTCCTCAGAGGGATGTTGTGTGAGGACCCCGCAGCTCACATTCACACTTTTTTTTTTACTATTATTATTATTATTTTAATTGAGGTACTGTGATTTACAAAGTTACTCATAGCACTGCAGTTTTACAAAGTCATTCATGATCACATTGCAGGCATACAATTTTCCAACACCAATCCCATCACCAGTATCAGGGTTCACGCCTGGCTGGGCTCAGGGACCATATAGGGTGCCAGATACTGAACCGCAGTTGACCGCATGCAAGGCAAGCGCCTTACCCAGTGTACTATCGCCCTGCCTCCCACACTCTTAAAGAACCCAGCATGTTGCCTCTGGAACATGCGCTGAGATTTAACCACATATTTTCATATGCCATTGCTCCAAAATGAGAAAAACAAAAGCCAGAAAGAAAAAGCAAAACCCCAGCAATTTAAACAAAGCAACAAAAATACTCTCACCAGTTGTTCTGCACAGTATGGACCCAAATATTAACCTTTTCTCAGGGATAGTTGAATTTAAATGCTAAACTAATTATGAGAAATAAATGACATCACAAACATAGGAAGTAGGAGTCTTCTTTCCTAATACCTGTGCTGTTGCATGTCATGGGAGGTGTAGTGTACATTTTATCTTTTTTTTTTTTTTCATTTATTCTGAAAGACGTTTTCTCAGGTCCTTTGTCACTGTCACTGCCCTCCCATTGTTCATCAGTTTGCTCGAGCGGGCCCAGTAACATTGTGAGACTTGTTGTTACTGTGTTTGTCATATCGAATACATCACAGGTAGCTTGCCAGGCTTTGCCATGTGGGCGAGATACTCCCTGTAGCTTTCTGGGCTCTCTGAGAGGGGCAGAGGAATCGAACTTGGGTCGGCCTGGTCAGCTGCGTGCAAGGCAGACACCCTACCCACTGTGCTATCACTGCAGCCTCATTACTATCAATTTTATTGTCTTCTGAGCCATTGTTTATGCTACCATGCTCCTTGAGAGAGACCCAGACTGTTTTGAGATCAGCTGTCACCATCATTAGCATGAATTTGGGCATTGCTGATTGTTGGTTTTGGTGCAGTATAAATGGGTGTTTGCACTTCTCCCGAAACCAGGGCACGGTTGTACAGCACAGCTATTACCATTTCACTCAGGTGACGTTATAGCAGCCAAAATGTGACCAGCAATTATTATTAATTTTGTTTAGAGATTGTTTTCCAGGTTAGGACATTCCTGCTAGAATTTAAGTTTCAGCTTAAAAATGTCTTTTTAAAGCAGAGAATCGTGGTACTTGCACGGTGCTTCCCTGGGGCCTACCTGGTTTGCATGTGATGGGATTGAAGCAGCAATAGATTTCAAGGCTCTGGCCCTTTGGAGGCTGTTGAGACAAGAAGCCTAGAGGAACACCCTCTGGCCGTCTGCAGCACTCATCAGCTCGTGACTGGAGAACTCGGTCCACCAGGCGTCCCTCTCTGGGCATTGGGAATGGTGTAGCTCATTTGTCAGAAGTGGGGCCATGAGTCACCACTAGTAATGGCCCCTTCTGGATGGAGCTGATCTCAGTGTCTCGATAGGGACCAAAATTTGGAGCCAGGCTGGTCGGGACAGATGACTCAGTTAATGTTGTGTGAGGACGCCTCAATCTCCAGATGGCCTTGGTTTGTAACTTATTTGTTTGGGAAGTATTTAACCAATCCATCTATCCCTACCAGCTGGACTATTTAAACTAATTCACCCAGCCCTTGGAAGCAGCCCCCACATCACCCAGGAAACACAGTGGGATCAGAACTGGGTGTTCAGGGAATTCTGCTTGAAGAATGGTGTTGCTCCCCCAAATGCAGGGTCTGGACAGTAGCAACTGGTGATCAGCCCTGGCTACTGGAATCCAGCCCTGAGAGTGCCAGGTTTTCAAGGAGACAAACAGATCGACTGAAAGTAACAGGGAGCATAAGTGGAGGGTTCAGACATTTGGGTGGGACAAAGGGAGGCAACAGTCTACTGCATCAAAGCCATAACCATCAACTGACAAGTAATGGGGGCGGGAGAAGGGAGGTCAGATCAGAAGTGGGGTGCAGGATATGGACATTTTGGTGGTGGGGGGTGTGCAGTAACTTTATCAATACCATTAACTAGAAGACTGTTATCATAACTTTGACCTGATCATAAAATACAAAAAAAAAAAGAAAAGAAAAAATTGGGAATGGTGTAGCTCATTTATCAGAAGTGGGGCCATGAGTCACCACTAGTGATGGCCCCTTCTGGATGGAGCTGATCTAATGACAATGCAGATGGCCCTGACGGGGGATGGAGCAACATCCATCTTCACACCTGTGGATGCCATGCTTCCGGTTCCATCACAGCTGTCCTGTTACTGGGGAGAAGGTAGAATGAGTAAGCAGGGCTGATTTTATTTTTTAAGATTTTGTAGACTCTTTAGCTCAAGTTCACAAAGGAAGCTTTAAAACTCTAGCAGTTTGATAGTTTGGGATGGGGGTGGGGAGTGTAATAAAGCTTCCCCCCTCTCCAAAGAATAGTGGCTTCTTAAACCAGAATTCTCACCTTGGCAACCCAGGCACTCTTCATCCCGCTGCTCAGCCTTAAAGACAGTGAGGTCTTGGCTTCTCTGAGGCCGCTAATGCCACCCTGGGTGCCCGTTTGCTTTTCAGCATTGAGGGAGTGAGACAGTTGGGTGGTGGCAGACCTGGTGCCTGTCCTTCACACCGATGCTGAGTGACACAGGCGACTGTCACTCTGGGGATGTTTACATGGAAGGGTCACAGCAAGTGTTTCAGACTGATAAAGAAGGATGGGTCCATAGAGCAGAAACTGTGTCTTGCTTTGCTTTTGGGAAAAAGAGCAGATGGAGGCTCTTGCCTACCTCTGAGCCTTGACCCTGACCGAAGAGGAACCACAAGTTGGAGGCAGATAGAAATAGTGAAGGGTTGGCTGGAGTAATCACCTAATGTCTCCACCTACCCCATCTTTAAAACGCATCAGAAAAGTTAACATAGAGAAGAATCCAACCAGGCAGCAAATATGAAAGATGGTGGCAGATAAGGTCTGGGAGCTGGAGGAGCAAGTCCCTAGATTGGTAATTAAAGAGCCCTAGCGTGGGAGCATTGGGGCTAAGCCCCTCCCTCGAAGGCTGTGCAGGGTCGGGTCTATGGGGGGCCGAGAGATGGGAAGTGGGCCATGGGGGACGGGGCTCGACTGTTGCAGCACCTAGTTAATCGGCAGCCAGCCCATCACATTAAATATCCAGCCGTCATGTATTACCTTTCAAGTGAAAATGAATAACTCCCATTAAGAGCGAAATGGGTTTGAAGTCGATTCGAGACAGATTAAAGTACTGTTATGAATGTGTGTGTTGGGAGGAGGAGGGGTCTGTGTGTATTATGCTTGTCCTTGTACTTTTTGAATAATAGATGTCCTACAAACTTCTAGAGACCAAGTTACCCAGATACTGGGGTCAAAGGTCGCAAGATGTGCATTCTGGGAAGAGCGTCGACTTCCTGGAATATTTCCTGCATTTAGCAATATTTTTTTTTCCGAAATTATTTCGTGGCCTTAAGATTTTAATGAATAAAATTGATTTTCTCAAACTGTTTATTAAAGCACACGTCTGTGATGGCGGCATCTTGGTATCCACATCAGAATAAATTTCACTGCTGCGCATAGAGTGGAAACACGTGGTGCATTAGGGGACAGGGCGAGGGAGAGAAGAGTTTGAGCAGGGAAGAGAAATCACGTCTTCTAAAGCTGTGCCCTCGGTGCCGAGTCAGACTGGTTTTTAATGAAGACATTGAGTACACATTTTCTTATTGGTCTTGGGAGTTTCTATTCTGTCTTTTTTTTTTCTGACTGCTTTTTACAAAATTCTGGAATATCCAAAACCAGGACAGAGCCAATCCCCAGATGCTCTTCAGGCTGGGCAGTGACCAAACCCAACCGTGCTGACAATGGGTTGGCCACAGAGCCTGGCTGTTCTCTCTTAAGAACCTTCCAGATTTCTTACCGTGCTTCAAAGTACTCCTTCCAGTGCATCTCCATGCCTACTGTTGCGACTCTATCTCTTGTGACTTATTAAATAGTCCTGTTGCTTCTTTGGGGGGCTTGGAGGAAGTGGGGTATGGAGAACATAGACAAGCAGATAGGGAACTTTCACCACCCTCATGAATACACTGCAGTCTGCAGTGCCGGCTGGATCCTAACTTGGATTCATCCCACCCTGCAGTTCTCTGCACCCACCCCCATCCCTGCAACAGGTGTCTGAGCCTGATTTCTCTACTGCCACAGACCCACATGTGGGTGTCTGGGCTGGGCTGTCCTTTCTTGAGACTCACTCCATGCTCGTGTCCCCTGCGATGTGCTGTGTGCTTCCAAGAGCTGAGACGGTGCTGCTGGGGACACATCATTTGTCATAGCTATAAAAACAGTGCCTGGGGCCCCGTGGACGGTCCTGCCTGCCCTCAGCTCTCCTTGAAGTCTTGGATGGGGGAAATCAGAGTAGCCTGAATTTTAGCTTCATCCAAAGCATTCATGCCATTTCTATCCATGCCATTTCCTTCTTTTCTTATTATTCTGTGGCCAAAGTAATGACAGGAAATTGTGGTGCAAAAAAAGAAAAGGAGAACTCTTGCTTCTTTCCCAGCATGCAAGCTAAGTCAGCCTGGAGGAGTCTCATCCTTCTGGATTGGGGGTTTTTCCAGGAAATCCTGTGCTAGAAACAAATGTGGATACTCATCCAGCTCAGACTCCCCAGGAGCCGGCCCAACTGCTCCAGTGCCTCACTCTCTCTCTTTCTCTCTTTCTCTCCCCCTCCCAGCCTCGTCCAGCCAAGCCGAGAAGGAGCTGACAGATTCTCCAGCCGCCTCCAAGCGCATCTCCTTCCCAGGTAGCTCAGAGTCTCCTCTCTCCTCCAAGAGACCAAAAACATCTGAGGAGACCAAAGCAGAACAGGTGAGGCTGGCGGGGGGTGGTGGTGCTGTGTTGTGGGCGCCCACAGGCGGGCGGGTTTGGGGCAGCTGCCGTTGCGAGTGGGAACTGAAGATTCAGCCCGAGGGCTGGGTGTGTCCCCCACAGATGTACCAGTGTCCCTACTGCAAGTACAGCAACGCCGACGTCAACCGGCTCCGGGTGCATGCCATGACGCAGCACTCGGTGCAGCCCACGCTCCGCTGCCCCCTGTGCCAGGACATGCTCAACAACAAGATCCACCTCCAGCTGCACCTCACCCACCTCCACAGCGTGGCACCCGACTGCGTGGAGAAGCTCATTATGACGGTAAGACAGCCAGGAGCAGGCGCCTGTGGCTTTCCTTCCCCGCAGGAGTCACGGCCGTGACGTGGACAAGCTGCCGTGGGGGTCGGATGAGAGAACCAGTGAGAGGTGGAAATGGTGCCCCCGGTCCAGTTCTCAACCGCCTGCCCTCCTCCTGGACTGGCATCAGACTTGGCATGGCCAGGGCGTGACTGGTCCCCAGGTGTCACATCATAACGTGATGCTCCATCTCCTCGTCCTCCTTCCTTCCTGTGGGCTACGGGCCTAGGTTAGCTCATCCTTGTTATGAAGAAATTGTTCTTCGGCGTCTCTCCAAGCCGTGGCGGAGCAGGTCATGGTCTGGGTCGCTCTTGACCTCACAGTGCCGCATTTCAATCCCCCTGACAACCTGGCTGAACCCAAAGAAAGTCTGACCTGTGTGTACTTAAGGTTCAACAGACGAGTCACTCGGGGCCACATGTCAGTGGCAGTTGAGGTTTAAACCCCCGTGTTCCCACTGCACCTGTCAGGTGGGTGCAGTAATTTCAGAGCAGGAAAAAGGCGAGCAGGGTCATCAGCTTTCCGTCTTCCGATATGTGTGTGGTGCCAGGGATCCAACAGGGTCTGGTCTCTGTAATGGCTGTGTGTCTTCATCGTGGGCCTACCTTCCCTTAACCCCCCTCCCCTCGGGGGGCTTTGCGACATGACAATGATGTTGCCATACCTGCAAAATTGTGTGTATTGTCTTGTTTGGGGTCAAGCCTGGCAATGTACAGGGGTTACTTCTGGCTCTGCACTCAGGAATCACTCCTAGTGGGACATGGGGATGCTGGGGATCGAACCCGAGTCAGCCACGTGCAAGGCAATCAGCCTCCCCATTGTGCTATCGCTCTGGCCCTTCTGCCTGCAGATTTTTAAAGCCTGGCTCCAAGTGCCGTCTCTAAACATAACCCAGAGGTTAGTGTAAAAGATTTAAATCTAATTATCATGTGAAAACTTTTCTGAGTCCTGCAGGGGAGATTCATGTCCTACTTTTCGAGCTGTGCGGGAGCTGCTGTAAAAGTCCTTTTCTTGATGACTGGAAGAAAAGCCACCAAAGAGTTATTCTTCTAACAGTGTCATTTCCACAGTGGAGTAATAAGAAATTAATCTCATTGCCTTTTTGTGTGAGGATTCCCAGAGACAGAGTGAGTGTGTGTGTGTGTCTGTTCAGAATTCCGCAGTGTTCAGGTCACAGACAGGGACCAACCTCTCGGCATTTCCTATTCCATTTGCTTATGCAAAATTAATCATGTTCTAAGTGATGTTTAGTCCCAAGGAACATATAATTGATGATGCACCAAGAGAACTTTGGCAGCCGATGGAAAATTCAAAGGTGACTTAGCATGAGCGTCCTAAGCGCTCTGAAGCACAAACTCCCTTTCAGTGGGTCTTTTCCAAGAGAGGGGCAGAGACCATTGGGTCCCCGAGTGCAGATCTCTTTCTGCGGCGTGGTGGGGTTTCAAGGCATTTTCACGGCCTTGGAAGTAAATCAAGAGGGAATTTCTTTCTCAAGTCGCATGCCATTTCCCATGGATGGCCTGAAACCACGAGAACCCTAAGGATAGTGGAGAGATGAGGAGCGCGTGTATTTTTAGTACTTAACTACATTTTACTTTTGCTCACTCAGATGGTTACTTTTTTTTCCTGCGTAATATAAATATGACCTAGAAATTATGAGTCTCTGGAAATCCATATGCAAGAAAGCTGTGCCTACCTGAGTATGAACCCTCTCAAGCCTCTGTGGTCTGCCATAGTTTCATAACCACGGTGCAAGGCACTTTCCAAGTGGTGGTGCATGGTCATTGGGAATCATCTTCATTTACCAACAGCCTTCTGGTGACTTCTGGGTTGGCCTGGGTCCCTGTCCCTAAGATATTTCTGGCTGCTACCCACCAACTAGCACCTTCTCAGGTAACGATTCTTGACCTCTTTGGAGATGCTGACGAAGACTAATAGTTTTTACTGCTTTTTTCTGTGCATGATAAAATGTGATAAGAGTTGTAAAGACAGCCATCGGGTATTCCATAGGAACAGAATTGTGTGTCACATAGCTGTGTGCGACTCTTGCTAGTCAGATTCTCTGAATGTCCTCACTCAAGCCTGCTGGTGTTTCTGTCTTTAATGAAGAGGACACTGGGGGAAAAGGAGAGAGGCAAAGGAGAAAAGTTGCCTGATGAGGGCTGGAGCAATATTACAGCAGGTAGGGGGTTTCCCCAGCATCCCATATAGTCCCCTGAGCACTTCCAGAGTGCAGAGCCAGGAATAACCCCTGTGCATCGCCAGGTGTGACCCCACCCCCCCAAAAAAAAAGTTGCCTGATGAAAACTGATCATTCTTTGTTGTTGGGATCTCTTCTTGGGGCATGAGAGGGTGGGGACTGGAGGAAGCTTGATCTTGTGACTTTATTAGTAACCCTGCTTACACATGCATGCATGTGTGTAAAACCAGGGAGCATAAAGATGTCCTTAAGTACACCCACAGTATCAGATTTATAAATCTTGTGCCCCAAAGAGGGTTGGAGCAATAGCACAGCGGTAGGGCGTTTGCCTTGCACACGGCCAACTTGCCAACCTGAGTTCAATTCCTCCGCCCCTCTCAGAGAGCCCGGCAAGCTACCGAGAGGATCTTGCCCTCATGGCAAAGCCTGGCAAGCGACCCGTGATGTATTCGATATGCCAAACACAGTAACAACAAATCTCACAACAGAGACGTTACTGGGCCTGCTCGAGCAATCAATGAACAACGGGAGGACAGTGCCCCAAAGAATCCCTGGCCGCATAGTCACATGGGTGAGACATAGTCTCTGACTGGCTGAGTGGGGCCCCTGTATCGAAACTGCTCACTTAATCTTCCACAGCAGACAATGGATGGAGTTGTTGTTTGCTTGACATTTCTGAAAAGTGTGCAAACCGGGAGGATATAGGAAGGTCATTTTGATAAGAGAAAGCCAAGGGGTATAAAACTAAAGTTGTGGGACCAGAGGGATAGTACAGCAAGTGAATGTGCTCGCCTGGCATGCGGTAGACCCAGGTTCGATCTCCGTCACTCCATTTGGTACCGTGAGCCCCGCCAGAAGTGTCCCTGGGTACAGAGCCAGGATTAAGCCCTAAAGATAGCCATATGTGCCATGAAATTAAACAAAACACCAAGAAATGAAAGTCAAGAGAAGTGCAACCATGTACCCAGCATCGCGTATGGTCCCCTGAGTACCACCAGGAATGATTCTTGAGTGTTGAGCCAGGAGTAACCCCTGAGCGCCGCTGGGTGTGGCCTCCAAAAAACAAAATGAAAAAGCAACATGTAAAGATTAGGGGAGTATCTGAGGATGATTTTGTATTTTTTTTCTCTCTCTCTCCTCTCCCCCCTCTCTCTCCTCTCTCCCCTCTCTCCCCTCTCTCTCCCCTCTCTCTCGTCTCTCTCTCTTTCTCTCTCTCTCTCTCTCTCTCTCTCTTGTTTGGCTGCCCTATTCAATGTTAAATAACTTTCAACTCCTGAGAATGGTTTGCATTGAGCCAAACAAAACATTTCCACCCAGGTCATTTAGTTCAACAGGAAAAGATGGAAGTTTGGGTTCGAGGGCAGTTTGTGGCTGTGCCTCAGGGGAAACCAAAGTCTTGTCTGCGGACAGGCCTGCTGCCCTCCGTCTCCACTGTGCTGAATCAAAACAGATGCCTGCATTCTGACTCTGAAAAGTTTGGTGTTAAAGCATAATTTGCAATTGTTTTACAACTAAGTGATTATAATGAACCTGTGGTTAAAATCATGCCCCTGGAGGCTATTCTACAATAATTTTATTAGAAAATTGGCCATGGGAAATATATTGGCTAAGTGTTTTGACTGTACATCTGTTTATTCCTGGCCAACTCAAGCGGGCGACTCTGCAGACAACACGAGGAGGAGAAATATGCCTCTGCCCCCTGTAGGGATCCATTTCCTACACCCCGTCATGAGAGCAGCCAGCCTGTACCATCCATCCTCCTGGAGAGGAGGAAGGTCATATCTGCTTTGTCCCTGAGTGGCGGGCTTGAACTGCAGTGAGAGGAGTGGCACTTTTTGCTAAGAAGCATGACCAAGTTCACGGCCGTTGGCTGTAGACTCGGGGACGCTAGTAAAGTCCACCCAGCAAGGAGTTGTTTCCTGGCAGACCTGGGGTGTGTTTAGGGCACAGATGTTTGGCCTCTGGTCCCTTTTTTCAGAAAAATGACTCAGGACCTCCATCCCATCCCCCAAATCAACATTTAAGAGAACCAACAGGAAGCAGCCCTGCTCCCAACTCCACTGCTCCCTTGAGTGGGTCTGGCATTGGGGGTGGGTAGTAGAGGGGGATCTTGCAAGCTCTAAATTCTGACTTTTTTTTTTCTTTTGCTGCTGGTGCCAAGGTCTCAAGATCTGACTTGAATTGGGTTTCCGTCCCTCTAAAAGTAAATTTCACCCTGATAAATGGAAATAGATTACCTTCTACACAATGTCTTTCCGTTCGGTTGTAAATGGAGAGTGTTTTGAGGAGGCTTCATTTAATAATACCTTATCAGACAGCTTTCAGGAACCTGCAGTGTCTAATATGTCTGTTGCTATGGTAACCACTGCTTGCTTATGCTCTGCATCTCATATCTGTGTCTTCCACGGGCCCCTTTTCTTCTTTACCACTGAAGGGGCTTGAAAAATATTCTCCTGGGGAACAGTCACAGCTCTGGCCCTCCACGAGGGAAGCTGCACCCCCAGCACCTCATCCCACTGGGCCCCTGGGAATCAGGGCTGCCAACGGGGTGCTGAGACGCCTGCCACAAAAGGAAATCTTGAAAGCATGAGGGCCCAACTGCGTGGCCTGCCCAGGGCCTGGGGAACACTTACTTCTGGGCATGGAAGTTGGAGACTGCACCTTGGTGTGCAGTAGCTCTGGGGCTCGTGGTGTCCTTGTGGTCCCCGTCTCTGGAGGAAGGAGGCTGTGGGCTGCAGGGGCCTTGGTCCCCCTGTGCTCCGGG